AGTCTCTTTACAAGCATGTATGTAGGGTCCAAAATCGGGACAATTGGTCATATGATACTAGTTTTTACTCTGAAATCAAAGGATCTTGGTATTTTCTCTCAGGCGTGTGCTGGGTAGCATCAGGTCACCAGGGACCGCTGACTGGAAAATCAAGCTTTCATCCAAAACTTTTTTCCGTTCCTCACCTTACTTTCTTCTCCTGATGCCAAGTGTTAACATTCACTTTTATTGCTGAGCACCTGTTTTTACCTTTTGGAGATCTGGCAGTGGTTTCTCCAGGGGATCGTCCAGGCATCTTTAAAACAATACTGACACCTGCCCCCTCACTCCTCCCCAACCCCGCCCCCGGAATTCGATGGAACTGGTGGGAGGTGTGGCCTGGGCAGCCAGGTGTTTAAATGCCCCCTGGTGATCCTATGTATGGCTGAGAACCAGTGATGGTGGCTCCACTGTAAACCACTTCTCAAGGGCTCAACTAAGCAAGTCTGTGTCTTTTTCTACTTCTATGTCCCACAATTATTGGTTTCCTTTCCGCTCTCATCCCAAAATAGAAATCCACTCTTCCTCGGAGATCCTGGGTTCTGCCCTGGGGAGGGTCACTCACCTCATAGGGCTCTTTGCTGGGCCTGCACTTTTCTATCTGGTAGAGCTGGGTCTTGCAGCAGACGCTGTCCTGGATGTCGGATTTCTACCGGAGAAGAAGAGAAAAAAGCACGGCTTAACTCACAGGAAATAGAAGTGTTCATTAAGCACAGTCATTAATTTTTAAACCGGTGCTTGGCTGGGAAAGAAAGTGGTTGGCAAGACTGTTAATTGCAATACAAAGCTTTATGGGAGGCCTCCTGCAGGCAGGATGCAGCATGGGACAGCCCTGGCCCAGAGTCAGGAGACCTACTTCTGCTCCTGGCTCTGCCAGGTAAGGGCCAGGTGACCCTGGGCAGGTCACTGTTCCTTGCTGGCCTCAGTTCTTTCATCTGTGCAATAAAGACTGCTCTAAGATGTGAAAGCAGAAACCAAATATGGGAGCTGGGGACTTACTTTACTGAACTGCTAAGTAGTAGACAGATCTTGCTTATTTGCTTATTTAAAAAGAGCCCTAGTCCCTACCTGCTCCCCGCACCCCAATAGAAGTCACAGCAATTCATAATACAGCTTAAAGAAAAAGCAGACAACTGCACCTAAGACGGTTGGGTCCGATTTAGGTGCTGGTCAATCGGGAGACAAGTGAAAATTAAATGACTGATTAATGAATTTATCTACCAACCATGGTAGTCACTAATGTCCTTACAGGATCTCCAAATTAAAAATCCATGCTTTAGAAAAAGGAAACAAGAATCAAGAGAAAGGCGGAGACATGGCAAATAATTAAGGTCTCATATTTTACTTTTTAGTTCAGTAGCTTCGTTTTCAAAATTATACATGAGTTGTTAGGAACTGGTTGATAAGATTAATAGCGGGGACGGTGCATGCAGTGTAATTACATTAGCCATCTGTGGGAATGACTGAGCGGACCAGCTGTGGTTGTCTGTGGGCATTAATTCACTCCAGTTAAAAGCAGCCACTCACCTAGAAGCAGGTTGTCAGACCAGGTATGTCCTACAATTTAAGGGTTAGGTGCGAAATGGACACAATAAAATAAGAAACATCTCCAGTTAGAACTCCATGAGCTGAGTTCCCAGAGAACGTTCTCAGCAGACACAGTCACGCTCAGCTTTGCAACATGGCAGGACTTGCCAAGTGGAGGAGCAGAAACACAGCAGATGACAAGACCCAGACAAATCAAGACACAGCCCAAGAGCTCCAGACAAACGTTTCTCTCATTTGGGATGAGCTGCGTGAAAGTTTAGGAAGCGTGTGAGTAACCAAGTTTATATCCAGAGATGTGGTGATAGACACAGGAAAGGAAGTACTTAAAAAACTAAAGTCCCTCTGAGATCTTATTGATCAGCGTCCAAAAAATGAGTTCTGCCAAAAGGAGAATGTTTGAATCTGTGAGCTTACTTAGGAAAGCGGCAATGTCCTCCTTTAAATAGGTGAAATCATGGACTTCATAGTCAGTTTCATGGAAACACTTTCTAAAAACTAATTTTTGAACAATATTCATCATTTGAAAAAATAAATCAGTGTGTTGATCCTCTTTTCTTCCTTTGACTTGAGAACTATGTAAATTCTTAACTATCGTCCTCTAGTATGGTGGTCCCAAATGATGTGACCTTGAGCCCACGTAGGCGAAAAAGTTGTACACAGTTGCCTACAATCTATGCATATTTATTTATAAATTATAAGCAGGCAGCACTACACTAATATATCATGCATATTATAAAATGTATAACAAAATAGGAATTAAAAATAAGAAAAAATGAGGGACATACAGTTTTTTATATGACACTGTCTCTAAAATCTAGCCTGAAAGCTGCATATTGGTTCCCATCAGAAATGTCATCTCATCTCTACTTACATGAAGCATTTTTTTTTGTTTCCATAAAACTGCTCTTATTTTTAAAAGGCTGTTACAGTTGAGAATGTTTCTTCTTCGTTGAGAATGTGTACGTCTCTCCTTTGGTGGTTCACCCAAAAAAGAAATTCTGTGGATAACTTCTTGTTGAAGCAAAATGTAGCAGATACCCTATGCTGAATCAGCTTAGAAACACCTGTACTTTCATCCAACTGTTTAACAAACGTTCCACCAAGTTTCTTTATCTATTCAGCAATCCATGGCAGGGAGAACATCATTTCCCCAGTTGTGGGTAGATTTTCATCTCTACCTCTAATATAAAAACCTCACAAAAGGTGTCTAAGCCTATTGCTTAGTGGAAATTAGTGAAATATTGGGCTGATTGTCACATGACTTTAAGTAACACTGAAAAAACTCTAGAAGTTCATCTTCGTGCTCTGGATTCTAAACATCTTCCTAACAGTAATGACCCCACACAATCAGATCTCAAGGTGCCATACACACAAGGTGAAGGTCATCCTTCATGACAGGGGGAAAGAAATCAAATTTCAGATGGGCTTCCTGACACTCCTGAATTTCTATGGCGGATCTCCTGTTAGAGCTGGTCGNCTAACTGGTTCCATTCGCTTTCTAGGTTCCAAGGGAGAGAAGTCAGATCATCTAGTAATGGCCTGTAATTTAATTAGCAGGAGTATTGCCGCACTTTGGAGAAAACAAATGGATCACAGGAGATTGAAATGCTGTTTTCCCATTAGTGTTCCTATTTAAACTCCAACTGTTAAATATTTCAACAAATGTTTAAAACACCATGCATTTTTTTGGGCCAAAGGAAATAATCATCCGAGAAAAATCATTTGGATGGAAAAAGAGGCCCCTATCCCACCACCGTTCCGACATTTTCAAACACACAACCGCAGGGCAACCAAGGACAAGGGCTTCAGCCAAGTGGCTTAGAGGCCACTTAGGGCACAGACATAGGGTCACGTGGGTGATGCATTGAAGGCTGCAGTGTTACTTAAGGCCCTGAAGAGTCAAATGCAAACCGAGAGAAAGGAGGGCCTAACGGTGACTTCTGCCTCCCCTGGACCCCAGCCGAGGTGACCACCCTCAGAGCAAGTGACCGTACGTAATGGGTCCCTCGCTGCCTTAGGGCACAGCTATGTGGTGATGACAGTGCAACCTGTGTGTTATGTTACAGGTGTTCCTCCGACTTTCATTAAGCTAGGTGTCCCACCTGGGATGTCCCACCTTCTCCAGCTGCTGTCCCAATTCTATCTGTTTTCTAAGACTTGGGTCAAGGTCCACTTGATTCTTTCAGGTGTTCATGTAGCAAATATTTATTGAGCACCTACTGTGTGCCGGGCTTTGTGTAGGCTCCAGGAATACTGTGAGGAGCAAAAGGGACACAGTCCTTGCTCTTAAGAAACTCATAGTCTAGAGGAGGGGAGAGACATTAATCAAATAACCCCTGAACACATGAAACCCTGCAAATGGGACAAGCCCCAGGATACAGAATGTGCTGTGACAGCCTGTCCTGGAGGGATGTGACCCAATGGCAGAGGTCTATGAGGAACTGACACTGCCTTGGGATCTGAAGATATATAGACATAAACTTGGTAAAAAGAGGAGGGGAGAACATTCTGGAAGAACAAACAGAATGTGCACAGCTCTGGGAGCCCAGAGCACAGAAATCCGAAAGCCTGTGGGACTGAGCGCAAAGCAAGGAGCCAGTCCGACCCACGACATAGTGGCCGCATCAGAGTTTACCTTCCAGATTAAGGAAGCCTTCAAAGGTTTTGAGCAGAAAAGGGACATGATCCAATAACTCAGTCTGGCTGGCATGGGGAGAAGTGAGTGCCAGGCAGTCATGGGGAAGTGGAGACACCAGTTAGGAGGCTGTGGCAGAGGCCCCCGGGGAAAGGTGATGGTGGCTGCGCCCAGGGTGGGAAGACGGGGATAGGGAAAAGAGCTTTAGGAGTCAAACTGGCAGAACTCGGTGACAGCCTTGCTCTGGGGTGAGGGAAGAGAGTTAAAAGGACACCTGGGTTCCTGCCCTGTACTGAGGGTGGGGCTGGTATCTGGAGACAGAGAATGGGGTCAGGGCTGGTTTCAGGCAAGCTAGATTTGAGATACCTTCACTCATGCAAGAGGACGGTTAGTAAGCAATTGGCCAGAGGGGTCTGGAGCTCAGGGGCGTCTGTCCTCTCCACCACCTCCAGTCTCCTGCTCTCATCCTAAAAGCCACGCATGGGCTTGTAGTGCAGCCCCGGCCCACGCACCCACCTTCCAAAAGCTCATGTCCATCCTTATCATCTCGGGCCTGATAGCCTGTCTCCGAGGATGGAGGCCTCCAGCCTGGGGTTGAGGCTCAGCCCTACCTGACTGCTCTGACTCCACACCCCTCCCCTACTTCCCCACCTTCACTCCTCCCCAACCCTGTGCATCCTTCGGGCAGAGGCCATGTCCTCTCCTTTTCTTCATTGCCAGTGTCATCGACAGAGAGATCTATGCTCACTGTCTTCACTTCCCCTCTTCCCACTCCCCCTAAATCCATGCCATCTCTTTTCTGCCTTTGCCACCTCCACCAAGCTGTTCTCTCTAAGGTTCCCAGGACAACCAGCTGCTCAGCTGACACCACTGACCATTTTATACTTGACTTTTCCCACGGTCTCCCTGGCATGGTTCCCTACGGGGTCCCCTGCACCCTCTCTGGGTGCCCATCATGTTCGCTGGTTTCTCTGTCACCAGTGTTTCCTCTTTTCTGCCTCCTTAACTCGTGCCATCCCCCAGGCTCTGTCTAGATTGGACAGCTGCGCCCTTGTCCCCTGGCCTCGACGCTAAGGGTGGCCCCTTCTCAGTGCTCCCATCACATTTACATGTGGCACCCGTGTCTCCTGCCTCACTGGATTGATTGTCCAGGCCGTGTCTCACTTGTTTTCTCTTGCTGCCAAGGAGCTGAGCACAGCTCTCAGTGACAACATCACTGCAGCCTTACACTCAAGAAATAGCCGGGAGCACTTCCTTTCCCGGTGACATGCAAGGCTTGTGGAATCAAGATGAAAACTCTGAGCTGGAAGATGGAAGAGGGAAGGGGGCGAGCTCATTGGCCTCACAAAGGGCACAGATCCAAAGGGTCACTTTTTGATTTCTCCCCAAATGGAATTCCTGGGTGTCGCAGGACAGGCTCCTTTGGAAGGGGGACTCAGGGCGCATGAGGAGGCTGCCGGGGGAGGGGGGGCAGGGATCAGAAGTGGGTTCCCAGGAAAGTCACTGGGAAGGCAGAGGACCCCTGCCTGACGACAGCGGTCACCTTGTGCTCCTGGCCCTGGGGCTGGAGTCCCCAGGGAGTCTCTTTACAAGCATGTATGTAGGGTCCAAAATCGGGACAATTGGTCATATGATACTAGTTTTTACTCTGAAATCAAAGGATCTTGGTATTTTCTCTCAGGCGTGTGCTGGGTAGCATCAGGTCACCAGGGACCGCTGACTGGAAAATCAAGCTTTCATCCAAAACTTTTTTCCGTTCCTCACCTTACTTTCTTCTCCTGATGCCAAGTGTTAACATTCACTTTTATTGCTGAGCACCTGTTTTTACCTTTTGGAGATCTGGCAGTGGTTTCTCCAGGGGATCGTCCAGGCATCTTTAAAACAATACTGACACC